AATACGGAGGAGGCCCGCTCTATGCGATCTGATGGGACGCAGGGAGGTTATTGGCAGGAGGCGGTCTCTCAGATTTAAAGCAGATGGCTTTAAATTCCAGAAGAAACAGGTCTGTAAGTGGGCAATACCTATTGTAAATAGGCAATGTTTTTCCTTGTCAAAACCTATGAACCCTGGAAGACAACTGTCACTGAATCATATGAGATATATAAGTGAATCTATTTATTTATATTCCCTCCCAATCTCTGTCCCTCCCTCCTCCCTCCCATCCATTGAAAAGTTCTAAAGTAATGTTTCCAAATTTTCTTTTGGTTTACTTCTATGGCTGTGATGGCGAATTCATGGCACGAGTGCCAGAGATGGCACACAGAGCCCTCTCTGCGGGCACGCGCACCATCGCCAGCTGCTCTTCTGGGTTCTGGTGCATGCATGCACACTGGGCAGCTGATCTCTTCTTGGTTCCAGTGCATGTATGCATGTCAGTTCAGCTAGCTTCATGAGAAGATCAGCTGGTCAGTACACCTATACCTGCCAGAACCTGGAAGACAGCAGTTAGCCACCATGCATGTGCATGCCAGAACCCAGAAGAGCAGCTGACCACCGTGCAACATGTGCAATGGCCAGCTGCTCTCTTCCAGGTTCCAGCACTCTGAAACGTGCATATGCACATGTACACGTTCCAGTTTTGGCACTCGGTGCTGAAAAGATTAACCATCACTGTTCTAGGTTATTAAATATACCTTAAACTATATAATTTATTTTATTTCTGCAGTTAGGTTCTTGAAGAGGACTAGAGACACCTCATTTTAATATTACTTGATTTGTGCAGGGCAAAGGCTATGTAGTATTTTCACAGAGGTGTACATAATATTTAAATGATACATCCAAGAGTAACATTCCAATGTTGGCAAAACATAGACAATGGAATGAGGTAAAACAGTACAAATACATAAAATATATTAAACAGTGTAATATGGTAGTTAAGGTATTGGACTAGGAGGACTGAGATACAGGTCATCCTAGCCATTGAAACTCATTGGCTGATTTGAGGTCACTCAATCTCACTTTCAACCCAATCTTCTTCATAGGATTATCATAATTAGGATAAAATAAAGGATTATTTCTATGTACAGTACTGAACTCCCAGTGAATATATACCATCAGCAAGCAATAGCAATATGTTTCACACCAGAAAGACTCCAAATGGATACTAAGCCTTGAGATTTGGACTCCAAAATACTCAGTAAAACCTGCATATTGGTTTCATCAATCAACATTGTTTATGTTAAAAATGTATATTCAAACTCTTATATCTTAGTAATATCTATTTCACACATTATATTTTTTCTTATCATCTATAAATAATTATTTTCATTTTTTATTTTTCCATTTGCCTCTCTTTTCCTCCCAACAGTCTCTAATGCATGATCCATCAAAAGTTTCAGATATAATAAAAATGTTATTCTTTGTAATGGTTTGAAGTTACTGGTTAGAGCTTGCCAGTACATCTAACACTAATAAATAAATATATAAGTGTAACAAATTATATATAAAAAAAGTCACATTCAGCAATTTTGGTTTGGTCTATTATTAGAAAATATATTTAACTTTATTGTATACTGTATTGTTTGTATTTTATTTAAGGATATAATTTTGAAAAGTTTTGTTGATGGTTGTATTTCCACACTGTCATTAGTACTGTGCTTCAGCTGCAAGTAATTCACAGCTGCAACTTATTTTTTATGAATTCTTTTTAAAAACTCTTATAGCAGAGTAAAACTGTAATAAAGTACATAGACTTTTATTTATCCATTATATTATCAAGGTGATTTAATTTTTGACATGAATAGTATGACCAAATATGTAATTGTAATTTCAGCAAATGGTTCTGCAGTGAACAATTGGAAACAAGAAGAGATAATAAATATATCCATATTTAGAAAAACTAACTTCAAAAACCTACTGTCATCAATAAAACAAATATCAATATTCAAATTTATAAAATATGCAACAAGGTACAGACTCCATGTACCTTTAGTCAAGAACTCAAGATGCATTTCTTGCTTATAATAAAACTGTTCACCCAGGTTCAAAGTGGAACACAATAGCTTAAAGTTAACATACACTTTAAACAATTATTGCTAATGTTTAATAGCAGAATATTTTGGTATTCAATATAAGAAAGATGAATAATGAAAAAAATAGTATAACTATTGTATACTAGTATTGTATATCTGCAATACATTCTTTCCTCTACTTCAAATTGCACTACAGGACTTTTAGGCAAGTGTCACTTTGCAAGTGTTTTGGAAACTAGAGTGAACTGCTGTTTCATCTGCAGAAACTGCCCTTATGGCCTATAACCTTGTCCAATAAGCTTAAACCAGAATGTTATTGTTCTAAAACTGCTACTTTTTTCCACTAACGTTTCTTATCAAAAGGCTGTTTCTGCGTAACCATTTATTACATCTTTTCTCCACACAAAAAAAGACCTACGCATGCACATTACATATTTTTGGACTGAAGTCCCAAATCATCCAGTTGTTCTGGATAATTTTTCCTAAAGCAAAATCCCACTTTTGAAATTGGCTCCTCTGTAAACAGCACTTGTTGCTGAAAAGAATCCATAATGCTGAACTTCTGGGATACTTTTACTTGCCCTGTAAAAGATATCTACTTCCAGTGTTAGATGGTGTATGGCAGTGATGAGATTCAGCCAGTTTGCACCACTTTGGGAGAACCGGTTGTTAACTTTCTCAGCAGTTTGGTGAACTGGTTGTTGGAAGAAATTATAGGGCAGAGAACTGGTTGTTAAATTACTTGAATCCCACCACTGGTGTATGGTATTTCTAAGAATGATGCTACACAAGCAGGTGCACAAGAAAAAATAATAATACCAATGCTATGGTGAAATTGCAACATTTAAATCACTAAATATTACAACTTATACATTAGCATATGCAATCATCATTTTTATTACAGTAATCCAAAATCAGTGTCTAATGTCAACTAGTTAACTTCAATATTATAATCATTTTAAATCTTTACTAGCAACAAGTTTGCCTTTGAAGAAAATTGATACACTCTAGAGAGGGTAAAAGAAATCTTTAGTATGCTTCTCCTTTCATAACAGTGGAAGTGGAGTCTGCTGTGATCCTCAAATGCTTTTACATTATAAATTCAGACTCAAAATGCAGGATGCATAATTCCCACTGTATTTGATAACCTGCCCATCATATTTTTCATATCAACTGCTACACTGAAACTCAAACTATTTAAATAGTTAAAGTTTTATATACAAATCATACTCTCACACTGTATATAGAAAAATGCATTTGAAAAAAATTATTTCTTGTTAGGAATCTAAGTATCTCTGCCAACTTTTAATTAAGTTTTCTATAGTACATTTTAATCTGGGAAAATATATGAGAAGGAAAAAATATACAAGTAATAAACCAAAGTTATAAATCTTTTCTTGGTATAAGTTCAAGGAACATAGATCTGATGTACAATAAATTCTCAGTGATTAAGGTATGAATGAGTTTAAATTACTTCAGATTAAAACTTACATATATATAAACGCATAAAATGCTCAAACATAAGTAATAATCAAGCAATTTATGTCAAGTCCTACCAATGTGATCTTGACTTCCTTCTGAATAAACATATTTATGCACAAGTTAAGAAAATATTGTCTGCATGTTGCCATAAGACATTCAGATACTACGATTTACTCTAAAGTTCTTTGCACAAGTGAGTTTGATTAAATCCTGTGAGTTTATTCCCAAGGCAGTAGATACTATACATTGTAGCCTCAGTTTCCTAAAAATGTTAGAGAAATAAACTGGACTATAACAAAGTATTTTTTTTCTTCCACTTATCTCACAAAAAGGATAATAGAAAATAATATCTTGCAGTACATTTGAAAGGAATGGAAGAATAAAGCATTGAAACAGAGCAGTTTCATATTCTTCTGTTAAATCACTTAAAGCACTTTGGATTGTATAAAATTCAAATACATTCAACAGTAATATAACTTTGCTTTGAGATCAGTTTTATAACATGCAAAAAAGTCCCTATAGAAACTCAAATTTCTTTCTTCCATATACTATAACATTATTGCATTTATATTAAGACATTACACAAATTACTTATCACTAACTAGCAATAACCTTGTGATTATTCAATCACTCTTCTTATTTTATCTATAGCAGAACACAAACATTTTAGCTAACTCTTGAAAGCTAAGTATGATTGGACCAAACTAGTACTTGGATGGGAGACCACCAAGAACACAAGGCTATAGGCAGAGAATTGGAAGAAATATTGTGGAAGAAAGGAATGGAAAACCATTTGAATATTGTGTGGATAATCATCAAGAGTTGGGTTTGTGTCAAGGAAGACTTTACCTTTATTATTTTTCATGTAAACTAAATAGGTTTAACCCTATTTATTTAACCCTAACCCCTTACACTAAAAATTCACATGAAGCATGCAAGAACAAAATATGGACTGCATTTCCACAAATACTTTGTTCAAATCCAACATTATTATTTAAAAATGAGTATTATCTGTCTGTCTTAAAAAGCTGAGTATCCTCCAAATCCTTGTCAAAATAATCAAAGTAAAGTAAAGGGGAATAGGAAAGGAAACTCCTCTTAACAAATATCAAATTCATTTTAAGAAGATAAAGGAACTGTCACTGTATCCCACTGTATGCTTTTCTATATAGACACACAAGAAATCCTATAGCAATCAATGAAGCTTACTTCAAGTACATGTACATAGTACTGTGAATTAATTACCTTTCAATAAAGTTCTAACACCACTAATAAACAATAGTCAGAATCTTACAACTTTGCAAATCTTAAAATGCATGCTATCAATTTTGCATTCATCTTGGCTACACAAACCTGCAGTGGTCTGTGTATTAACATTTAACAACCAGTCTGCAGTGCTGAGCAGAGTCATGTCACCTAAAGGAAAATTGCAAAAAAATAAAATAAAATGCTAGTAGTTTTTCCATATATGTCACAGAATCACACATATATAATATCCATCAGAAAAGTTTTATTTCTTTTAAATTGATAAGGCATTTTAAGTTCTGTTCCTTCTCTCAATTACTTGGAATTGTTGTATTAAAATAATTTTAACTTAACATCCTGATAGGTTTGTTTAGAAAGAAGAGTAACTCTTGAGATTTCATTAGTTAAAATTGTTAACTCCAGAATGGTTATCAACATATTTTACTCATCATACGTATACTTATAAAGTATACACCAAACCAAAAATATTATAAAGTAGCACACCTTTCCCATTCAGATGTCCTTCTAAGTATATCCAAGTAATTTTTACTTAAAACTGAGAGTAAAGATGGTTGGGAGAGGGGGATGACAATGGTCAGTGGATGGGTTAAAGGAATGCAGTATATGTACAAATGAAACAAAACCTTTTTTCTTTTAATATATTAAACTTTCTTATAAAAAAGTTACATTTTCCTATTTTTCAAATATTTCAAAGGAAGTGGTTAATTTGTCCTACACAACATATTGTATGTGTAATTTCCCTAAAATATTGCTGTGCTAATAGCCTTATTCAATGCATATTGGAATGCTAACAAGTCCTTTACATTTGCATCTCCTATAACACCATGTGCTTATGCATTTTAACATATTAAATTGAAATTTTGCACATTTTCATACTAAATAATCTTTTTAAAATATAGACCTAAACTAGAGTCATCAACCTAATAGTCCATGTTACTTTCTTTATAGATGACAATATTTCATTTAGTGGCAAATTAACCATGTTAACGTGAAAGATTAAAAAAAATCCTGAAACATTACCAACAGCAAACTTCAAAACCTCTATAAACAAACTATAATTGGTCTCTAGCACCACCTTCTATTCATTAAAAATGTATACAGTAGCAGAATTTATCTAGTTAAGCATTCTTTCATATCTACTAGAGAAGTCTGGTTTCTAAGATGCTAAACTGAAAGTCATGATAGTAACTTTCAGATGCCAAAACAAAGCTGCTGCTTAAAATCAGCAAACAAACAAACAAACAGCTAGATGAAAAGGTTAGTTATCCCTAGCCTTTATGCAGAGAACTGGAGAAACATTCCAGCATATGTTCTCCACTTTCATTCAAATAGTAAAGCCCAAATGTAAGGGTAAGGCCTAACACAAAATTGTATATTGTTTGTAAATTACATAATGATGTATATATAATAGGCAACATACACAATCAGAAACTAACCTTCTGTGCCATTGGGTGTCATGGAATTATTATTTAGGTGAGAATTATCAAGTTTTGGACCATTAGGGGACTCACTGCCAGCACTCAGACGGCTATGTGGACTGGCTAAATCCTGCATTTCCATAGACCTAAAAAAAGAAAGAAATTTAACTATATAAAAACAATCAAGACTTTTCACATGCTATGTCTATAATTATTTTTTCTATCTCAAACACACAATCATTTCTCTAAGTGCAAATCTACATATATTTATAGCTTTGGAAAGTCTGTAAGAAATAAAATCCAATGGATCTTATTCCCAGTTAAGGAGTTTTGCACCTTTTCATACACAATGCATTAATGTCTAATGAGAACCCTAACATAGCAAAAACAAGTTATTTCTTACAATGTAACTATGGATTTGTATAAATTATTGTGTCAGAGGCAATAATAGCGCATTAAAAAGTAATACTACTTGCTTGCATATAATTTACCACCCATTTACAATTTAATGGGCCGCCAAACCAAAGAAAACACTTGAAGCAATAGTTGAACCTCCAGTCTACTGACAAGGAATGAGATATTCCTGATGTATGTGTTTACTCTAGCAAACTACTTAATTGTTCCTATGTTTCTATTGAAACAAATGCAGCATTAAAATATTATTATGTCTGTTCTCGTGTTTGCTTTGTGGATTACATAAAGTGTGCCCCACTGAAAAAGGATAAGACCAATGCACAATGAGTGGTTCTAGCATTAATATACCTTAGCACTTTGCGGTACTTGAACTGTCATTTAAAGAAAATAAAAACTGAGCTAAGTACAAAATTGCCAATGTTTTCTCCTTTAACTATGCTTTAGTAAAATACTGACATTCTTACATATACCAGTTTTTATCATAAATTTCCATTTGTGCTTTGTATAATTATTTTATTTTTATTTATTTATTTTATTTTATTTAATATATTTATATGCCGCCCAATCCCGAAGGACTCTGGGCGGCTTACAAAAAATAAGAGAAAAAAGCACATAACGAGAAAAGAAACAGTTTAAAAACAGCAACACCCTCATACATTCATTCTAATCGGGGCTGGACCTCAACAGTGAGGTCAACAGCCCCAGGCCTGCCGGAACAGTCAAGTTTTTAATAGTTAAATAATATATATGTTAGGACAATGGTCAAAACACACATTCTGAAATAAAAATGATTTTTGAATAAAGAAATAGTGCTAGAATACATTATTCATTTTTACAATATGAAAACATCATTAGTATCAATTGTAGACTTTCCAAAATGCTAATAAACTTACTAGTTTGGATTTTCAAATTTGCTTGGAGGATTTTTTTTGTAAAATACTATCTTAAATTATACTTAAAAAGTTCAAAAGCAACAGAACCAAATCTTTCCAGACTTATCTCATATTCTGTCAAACCCATGCAAAGAAGCATATTTTTCAAAATTCGTTGTAATGTATTTATTTTTCAACACTGACAACTGCTTTCTTGTAATAAATTCTTTTGACAATGGGTCTGTTTATCAAATTTATATTTAAAAATGCACTACTTTTCCAACATATACAAGGCTTTGTATCACTGTGATTAAAAAATTCCAACTAACAGAATATTTTTTTAATTCAGAAAAGTATTTTTTAATAATCATTTCAGAATATTTAAAATACTTTTCAAAGAGTAAAAACATTTGTCCAGTTTAAAATTAAGAAAGAAATCTCATTTGTGTATTTGTCACTTGAAGTAAACAAACACAACTTCATTCTAAGCTTTTCTTTCCATAGAGAAGTGGCTTTCAGTTTAACCTTACCTGCGAAAGGATGAAGCAGCAACATCTGAACTGACTTGGGATTTTTACACCTGCAAACCAGGGACACAAACAGAAATCTATGTTATCCTATGTTCATGTCAAGTCTTAATCTAACTAAACAAAGAAATCTTGCTGGGGATCATAATGCTGTTTTTTAACCTAAAGAGGAGGGGGACAGTACTTCGGTGAAAGACATATTGTCTTTAAATTGAAGCTTCAACTGTTGTTTCCTCCAGCAGGTCTTTCCCCCTCCTGCCCATGTCATGGGGAAGGCAGCCAAATGACGGGATAGTGATTCATCACTTGTCTATGACAGCTGCACACTGCATTACCCCTCCCCCAATCAACATGTAAAGCTGTCTTCCTAGAGTAGTTTAGGAAGAAGTGCCTAGGTAAGGAAGCTATTAACAGAGCAAGCAATTTTAAGGAAAGACGCTCTAACACTCCAACACCCTCTAAAGATCTATCAGCCAGCTTTTATTATCACTAAGCGAAATATATCTCCCTCCCACTCTTTAACCCTTTACAGTCTTTTATGTCTAGCAAGTTAATTTTTATTTTTTCACCCAATTTATGTTTTAAAGTTCAGATTCCATATAGTTTAAAAAGATTTCAAGTCAATGCTAAGCATGTAAAATACAGCTATATTATACTTCTATAAATCAACTGTGAAGTTTCTTTATGTCTAACTGGGCCAGAGAGTCTCTAGTCTTCGATCTGTGCACTCCTCCACTAATCTAAATTAAGCTAAAAATAACCATACATGCTTCAGAAAAAATGAACTTTATGCAGTCTTTTAAATTATGAATTCCACATACAAAAATGGTATTGCTAAAAAAGCTACTATATGTTCTCAATGAGTATCATCCTTCAAGACAATTAACTTTTTCTTTCAAAAAAATCAGAATCTTTTCAGACTTACAATGTAGATTGGATTTTAAATTTCAAAATAACCTGTAAATAATCTGTATTTAAGAACAGACTTGACAGAAAATTTATTTCTAAAGAGCAGGTGATATACCGTACATATCTCAGGTAAAGATCCACTGCTAGCTTAAAAGTACAAATAAAATTTCTCCAGTTATGGCATATCTTTAAAAAACCTAAATTCAGGATCCCAATCTGAACAGACATTTCCTAGATGATCACAGAACAAAGACAAGAGAGATGAACCATTTTAAGTGCCATAAAAGTCATCTAAGCAAATCTCACTTATGTGTTTGTAGTTTTTGTTATTTTTAATCTTAGACAGAATTACTACTTTAGAAAGCACACACCACTCCTATAAGCAGCCAGACAACATATAATGTTACACATAAGGGCAAAAAGCATGCTGTAAGAGAGATAGAACAACTATAATATTTTTCTTGTGTTGTTTTAAAATTCCACATAGTGTATTTTTAAGAGGCCATAAAAAGCTAATTCAAACTATCAAGTGTATGTTTGCAACAACTAAACCATATTCTTTCAAGATTTTTTAAGACGTGTTAAATTGAAACATTTTACTCTAATACTCAAAACTGCACATTTAGGATATGTTGTCTCCCGCTTCTTGTACTTTCAATAAATTATAGATGGGAAAGTAGTATGCTTAAAACTATCTGTTGTTAAGTATACAGATATTTTAGTATTTTAAATTAACTGCATATATATATATATATATATATATATATATATAT